TCAAACCAGAGAAAAATCAAAGAAATTTGAAACTAGAGAAAATTCAAGGGTAATCCAGAGAAAATAACCAAATTCAAAGAAAATTCAAAGGTAATCCAGACAAAATTCAAGAGTAATCTAGAGAAAAATCAAGGATAATCCAGAGAAAATTGTCAAATTTAGATAAAATTCGATCCAGAGAAAATTGCCAAATTCAAGGGTAATCCAAAGAAAAGTGTCCAAATCCAGAGAAATTTAACACTATCAACACTGTCATAAAAAGAAATTATGATTTAACTTGAGTTGAATAGTTCTTCAAGCATAAAAAGAAAATGTATTCAGAAATGATACGTTTGAAAAGAATAGAGTAACAACTGTGAATTAAGATAAGCATGATAATTGAACGTTCTACAAATATAGAAACATCATACACCCCAATACATCAAAACTCAGTCCCCCATAGATAAAAAAAAACCAGAAATCGGTCTGATTCTGGTTCTGATTCTATCTCTGATAATTCCATTTGAAAAAATGATATATCCCAGATAATCTAAACTATCGAATTTAGAAAACCACAGAACCTGTGATCTTTCAGATGGTGATGATGGTAGTGACAGCAATGCATATCAGCGGTGGCCGGGGTTAAGCCGTGAGGAGACGATGATGCAGATGGCGACGACGATCGCGATGTAAAGCGATGATGGTGGTGGTGATCTGAGTGGCGAGCAGTGATGCCGGTGGAGAGGTTCGAGAGGCAGAGCTCAGAGTCCCAGTTGCCGGGGAGAGCGAACTAGGCGTCGGAAGATAGGACAAAGTCTTTAACGAAGTGAGAGTGGCCCGCGAACTGGATCGACGCGAGAGAGAGAGAGAGAGAGAGAGAGGGTGAGGGTTTGAGGGTGTGAGGTATATCAAATTTCTCTGTAAGGACCTTAGACATCATAAAATAATATTATGGATCTCTTCTATTACTAAAACTGAGAGAGGGACCTTAGACTAATTTTCCCCTTCATATATATATATAGATATGATATAATTTATGGGCTCTCCATGTGACATAGTACAGAAACAACAAAACTAGTGGGCCTTCAAGTCTATGTTTGTCGGGGAGTCATTCTTGTCAATGTCGCTGCCATCTGCACAAGCGTTATTGAGCTGTCTTTAAGGGGTTGTTTGGCTTAGAGCTATATTAGTATATTTTTTAACACTTCTCAAATAATCCTTAAAATTAAAGTATACAGGCTTTGAGTTGTCTTTATTTATTTTTAACTCTGTAATAAAGTTGATTTATATAGTGAATGAGGCCTTTGTCAATCTTGCAAACAATCAATTATGGGAAAATTGTAAAAAATTTAGTACATTTTTGTAGTAGTGTAATTCTCACATGTGCATGATATAAATTTATTTATGTGTTTTTTTATAAACTCAAATTTATTTTTGTGCTTGATGTAATTCTTTCTACGTGTTAAAATTGTAAAAATATATATATTCTTATTTATAATATAATTATTTTGTAACTATATCATCTATTTACAATTTTTCCATCAATAATTGTGGGTTGTCCATGGCATGGGCCAACTGTAATCAGGTGGTTCATATAACAAGTACACCCATGATTAAAATTATATAAAATATCAATAACGTTAAATCTGTTAAAATCACGTCGATTCATATTATTTTATTTGCTAATTACGAATTAAATTTTAAATTTTATAATTTATCTTTAAAATTAATTCGCTCCATTATAATTAATATATATATATATATTAACTTCTAATAGAATATTAAAATAAAATTAAGTGTAAGAAAAATTTAATATGCCAAATTTATTACAAAGTAGTAGTTATATATATGAAAAATATTAGATAAAATTAATTTGTGTTATATAGATAAAAAAAATATTATGTAAATTAATATTATATATAATGCAAATGTTTCATAATTGTAGCAAACTATTATGAAGAAAATATTATGAAAAATATTTTCAATTAACTAGCAAACTAAAACCACCCAAACCGTATGATTTCTTTATTTGTCAATCCTTCATTCACAATTTGATTTATAATTTTAATTTTAAACTACCTGAAACAAACATAGAATAATATAATTGGAACAATTCTATAAATATTAACATTTTTACTAGTTTTTTTATATTAAAAATACAATATATTTTTAGTTTTATCTTGACAATTAGGAAAAAATCCAACTTATTGACTTATTGGCTTATTTAAATCACAATAATTGGCTTATTTAAATAACATCAGCTCTTTAATTTTTTACACATTTTTTTATAAAAAATATTAAAAAAATTAAAATGTTTTTCTTACTTTCCAAAATAGGCCTCAATAAAAATTTTATTAAGAATTTTATTACTCAATCAATTTAGAGAAATTCTAATATACATCTCTTGAAAAAAGGCATATCATATGTACCTAATTATGATCAATTTTCTTTTTTAGTTATGACATTTTAATTATAACTTATAAAAAATTTTATTTTACATTATGCTCTATTTAATTATGATAATTTTTTTATAATAAAAAGAAAAAAATATAAAATTATCACTTTTCTTTTTTAATTATGGAGTATTTCCCATCAATTTTTAAGACACCACGTGATTCTCGTTGCTCTGAATATTGCAGCTCTTTCTTTTACAGTTGTCATACACGTGGTGGTGGTCCGAACATCTTTTTTATAGTAAATTAAACTGACCTCCGCTCTTCAAATTTTTGACAATTATAAAAAAACTCTCTGATTATTTTAACAATTACAATTTTTTTTTTTTATATTATTAAGATTCTTGCTTCCAGTTAATTTAAGCCAAACAATGTTAATTTGGTTATGCAAATAATCATAATATCCTTTACACTTAATACTCTTTAATTATAATTTATCTATATATTAAATTATTATTTTATTTCTAACAACAATTTTTTTTTTTTTGGTATTTCCTTGACTTTATATTTTTTTCCACTTTAAGTTTTGAATTTTTATAAGTTTAAAATAAAAAAATCAACCATTAATGAAATTAAGAAAGAATATCCATCTTTCTTATTTGAATTAGATTTGAGATTTAATTTAATATAAATAATTTAAATGAAAGAAACAAAGATGAAGATATAGATTTTAGATGTAATAAATAACAAATTATTTAAGCATTTTATTATTTTCAAATAATTTATTTCTTCAAGTAAAATCCTATTTTAATTAGATGTAAGAATGACAAATTTAAATAGTTTATTATTCTCAAATAATTTTTTATCTTTCATTTCCCATCATCTAATTTTAATTTTAATTTATTGTAACGTGATTAAATATTTTTTTTTTACTTTTACATTTATTTTTAAAAGTTTTATGAGGTAACATTTGGTAATTTTTATAAGTCAATTTTTTTATTATAAATATGAAATGTTATTATGTTTATTTTTCTTTAAAAAAAATTAATACAAAAATATGTTTACAAAACGAAAGAAAAATTCATGTTTCGTAAGTTGCTATGATATTGGGTGATACTAGGTAACATGGATGAAAGAGAAAAATTGAGGAAAAAATAGAGAGAATAGAACAAATAATGATAAAAATAATAAATTATATGGTGTTGCTATTTTCTACAGTGACACTAAAAAAATGAATGAGAAAATAAATAGAAAAAAATGAAAGAAGTAAAATAAATATAATGAAAAGAGAGGGATAATTTCTCCAAATATGTATTTTTCATACGACAAAAAATCAAATACCCATATGTATTTTTAAATTTTTTTTAAAACTCTAATTTCTCAATATAATTATTTTTAAAATTGGTGGCCTTTTTAAAAAATAAAACATCTTTTATACTTCATTTCGTAATTTTCAAATATATGATTGTATTTAATCTAGTATAAGGTTTAATGGTTATCAATTTATTAACTCTATTTTTTTTTTTTTTTGGGATAAGATTATTGTGACACCCCTGTTCCGTAGTATGTTAATTGGTCCTTAACATGATGTGATTATGTATTTTGATATGATTTTGTGTTCCACTATGTGAAAATATGTGGTTTGAAATTTTATCTGTTCATCGTAGGAATATCTGTTTGAGTAGTCTGCTTTGGAAATTTAATTGAGGGCCTTATCGGCCACGAAACCCGAAATTGATTACGCCATTGTGGTTGGCATAATTAAAAGAGGTGAATGAAATTTACTATTTGAATATATAAGGGTAATTTTGAAATTTTTTACTTGTAGTATATGACGTCAGCATGATATCATCATATTCTGTTAAATAAATTAATAGAAGATTAACAATAAAGAAATTTTAATAATAGTTTTAAAAGTAAGAATAGTTTTTTGTAATTATTAAAATTATAAGATATCCTTATAATTATCAGAAAGAGGTGATGTAAGAGCATCCACATCAGGCTCTCTACAATGGCGTTGAAGCTATTGCAGAGAGCAAAAGCTATAACTACGTGCTCCATCAGACTCTCTATAGCAACCATTCATTTTGACTTTGCTACACTATCTCACCTGATTAAGCGAGACACTATTCATAGGTTAATTTATTTTTTATTTTATTTTCTTTCCCGTGCTTCTTTGTCCCGCCAACAATAACACCACCTCTCATACCACCATTATTGTCAACACTTACCAGAGCCATCTCACAAATTTCATTCTCACCATCTTGCAAGTTCATCAGGCTCTCTCTCTCTCTCTCTCTCTCAATCATGTATTAGTTGATGCCAGTGCGAAGTAGAACTGAACTGAAGCAAAACAGGGCCAAAATGCTATGGCAGATCGTCCCCCCGATGTTCGAAATAAAATCTAGCCAAGTCACAAAACCTATGGCCGGGTGATTCTATTACTCTAGTGCACTGGTTTGAAAAAGATAAAAGAATAAAAAATAATATTTTAATAAAATAGAATTTTAGAATTGAGAGTTTGATGGAGTGTGTATATAAAAAAAAGATACCAGCTAAAATATAAAAGTGTCATGCCCCAAAATTTGAGACCGTAAAAGAATATATGTAAAGTACAACTCAAACAAGAGAGACAACCACAATATTTTAATATACACATATAAGCAGAGTTATAGCATAGATAACTAATTTGAGTTACACTAGAAGTTTACAAAACACTATCAAGCCAAAAGATAAAAGAAAAGGGAAAACAAAAACAAACTACTAATCCAAATTTTCAAGTGAACCAAGGCTCCAACACTTCATCTTGATTGTCTTCAGGATAACCTTCCCCGTCGTAAGCTGCTTCCTCACCTGGCATGACACGCCATAAGCTGGAATGCCCAGTAAAAACACACACACCCCCATATCTTCTACCAATCAATCAACCATACACAGAACAAATTAGGTAACATAACATACAATCTTCCAACAAGGATCTATGGATTAGTAGTTAGACTAGACATCTAGAATCCCCCCAAAGAGATCATTCTACCCAACCACAAGGATTGAACACTAGACTATTCAGAACTCCCCCTTTTGCTGCTTTGCACACCTTAACACCTATGCCCACCTTTCGATTATTTACTTGTCAGTGGCATTGATGGACCTCAAAAGGGACGGCCAACAAGTGGGCTTGCTTACACCCAAATCGTGCCTAGGGCTCTATTACACCCTGCACATACCATACCAAATCGTGCCTAGGGCTCGCTTACACCCTGCACATACCATACCAAAGGGCTCGCTTACATCCTGAAATAACCGCATAGAGTCTGAATACATCCGAGTCAACCTAGGGGCTCGCTTAAACTACTTACACAGGACTTAACTGATTTAGTATTAATCCCATCATAATTCATGTCATTCATATGCATAAAATTGTTCTAAAACACTAAGATGAACGTCACCCATTGCCAACCCCTTATCATTTCCCGTTTATTAGATCTTTTGCTAAGTAAGTTAGTCACATTCGGTAACTCGGTGATATAAAAGAGTATGAAAAAAACATACGGGAGGAAATATAGTGCATGATCATCATACATAAGTATAGTAAGGCAAGAAAACAACATTAGGAATACTTTGAAACACTTATAGACAAATAACATAATAGAACACAATTTCCAGCACTGTTCGGTTCTACAGGGCTAACAAGAATGCTTTAGTAAAAATACTTCTAGGTCAAATTAGGGGCTGAAATTGCACAGAAACAATATTCAATCTGTCTAGTTTCAGTTCCAATTTTCAGAAGTTGCATAGCACCTCCAAAAATTCATCTACAAACTATATTCGAAAACCTGTCCAGATTTGTCACCGTTTGGGAAAACTAGCTTTTCTCTCAATCTACCCGATGGTTTTCACTCAAATAAAATCTGTTGGAAAGATGACTTAGAGTTCTAAATTTTGACAGAAGAACCAACACGAGATGATTTTTCTAGAAGTTTATAAAATTTCTAAAAGTGGACTGCTTTTTAGAGACTCAGGACCATATTTTTGAACAAATTATCCAAGCCCTAAAAACACACAATTAGGAGCTGATAAAATTATCACAAGCTCTAATGACACAAAATATCCTACAATAAATTCGGATTTGAGAATTAGATAGATTTGATATTTATTTTTAAATTAGAGAAGTTGTAGCAGTGCCTAATTTCACAAATTTGCAAGACAATGACACTATATCATACCCACACTTTCACATACACCAAAAACCCTATTTACCATTGATTTGTAACACAGGAGGAATACTAGACAATAGGATGATATGGTAAAAGGATTGGAGTAGATAAGGGAGAGGTATGTTCTTACCTTCACCTTCTTGAATCACCTTTGATTCCTTCTTTTTCTCTTCTTTTTTTTTCTTCTTCTTACTTCTCTACTTCTCTTAAGCCAACTCTCCCTCTCTCACCCTCTCCTTGGGCTGTTGAAAATGTGAGAGTGAATTTGGGACAAGCTCTCAATTTATAGAGTCTAAGGGATCCTAGCTTAATGACTAAGGAAAGCTAAATATCTAGATATTTTTTATTTTTTTATTTTTTTGTTTGTTGTTATCCAACCAACTTTTCCACCAAAATATTATATATATATGTATATATATTTTAAACTATGTACATATTCAAATAAATAATAGTATCTTATTCAAATAAACAATAAATGAAAGAACAAAAAAAAAAAATAGAAACAAAAATAAAATGTGTGAGTTAATTTAGAAATTAGGAGGTAAAATAAATAAAACCAAGTTTTAGGGTATTTCCAAATTTGGTAATACACGGAAAAATTATTCTTTATTTGGGCCCTTACGCAGACTTTTACGGCACTAGGGCTAAAATGCTATTAACTTAAGGCTTAGGGTTTCAAGTGTAATTACAAAAAACTTAGGGTCTCTACAACCTATCCCCCTTAAATAAATTTTGTTCTCGAAATTAAATCGTACCTTACGTCTCAACTAGTTGTGGATAATTTGCCCGCATCGTGTCTTCACGTTCCCAGGTGAACTCTTCAATACCATGGTGACGCCAGAGTATCTTAAGAAGGTGAATTGTCTTCCCTCACAAGTTCTTTTCTTGTCTGTCCATAATTGCTACTGGTCCCTCCTCAATGGTAGCGTCTTCATTGAGTTGGATTTCTTCCCAGTTGATGATGTGAGAAGGGGGCATTATATACTTCCGTAGCATGGAAACATGGAAAACATTATGTACTCCAGCCAACTGTGGGGGTAAAGCCAATTTGTACGCAACCTCTCCAATTTTTTTGAAGTATCTGGAAGAGTCCGATATATCGAGGTGATAATTTTCCTTTCTTTCCAAAACAGATGATCCCTCGGCGGGCCTGAATTTTCAAGAAAACATGATCACCGACAGCAAAAGTTAGAGGTCTTCTCCTCTTATCTGCATAACTCTTCTGACGATCTTGAGCTGCCACTAATCTTTGTCGAATAAGTTTCACATTTTTTGTAGTTTCTTGCACGATCTCTGGGCTCAATAGGCTCGCTTCTCCAACTTCAGTCCAACAAATTGGTGATCTGCATGGCCGACCATACAGTGCTTCGAATGGAGCCATGTCAATGCTAGCTTGGAAACTATTGTTGTATGTAAACTCTACCAACGGTAGGTGTCGCTCCCAATTCCCCTTGAAATCCATCACACAAGCTGTAACGCCTTCAAAAATAAACCCATAATCATATATTCGTGATACAAGAAAGAGATATCATATTCCCAACATTAGAGTATTCTTACAAGAGATATTACATGTTGACAACAAAAGTAAATGCCCTATAGGCTTACAACTTTCCAGGTCAACACTTGGGTTCAACAAAAATGGAGGTCTAACTCTTTACACAAAATAAGCCCTTGACTTGATATACATGCAATACACAAAATAGTCACAAAAGTAAGCCATCAGCTTCTACAACCTCCCTAGCTACATCCTTGGAGGTGGCATGTCACCTGAACCTGAACCTGAAAATGATGTCCCATATAGGGTGAGCCAATGCCCAGTAGAGATATACTAAACCAAGTATGAGAAATAACTAAAACAATAGCATTTGATATATGGTTGACACTTATAAACCAACTTACAACACGTTTCAATTCAACATCAAGTACATCCATTTTTCATTTCAGTTTCCTTCACTTATATCGTTTTGATTCATAATTATGGCTCAGAACCTGACCAAACAATGCAATGAGACTATAACACACACTTCACAATTCACATGAGAATATAACTCATATTAAAAAACTTCCATATTTCAAATGATACACAGATTTGCTGTATCAGTGGAGTCCATCCCCTATCTCCTCCCAAAAAGGTTTGAGAGCCCATCCCCTATCTCCTCTCAAACCATGGAGTACATCCCCTATCTCCTCCCAAACAACATACACATACAATGTATTTAAACACTTATCATATACAATGATCAATCAATACACACATTTGCTGTATTATTCCAACCGTCATATTCAATGACATATTCAATGTGATTAGTTTCAGTTTTCTCTAATCATCATACAATCTCTACAACAATCAAGACTATCCTTCACCGATAGCCCAAAGCAGTTATCTCTAAACAGATAATAAATTTATCGAACAGATAAACAATCAACAATTTCATAAGTGGTTGATAAATTAATCCAACCACACCATTCAATTACAATTCCATCCAATTTCATGATTTCCAACCCAATTTCACATTTCCCCAAATTAATTATTCAAATTATTTATCCAACATAATTAGGGCATTTTTCCCCTTTTCCATTATCAACCCTAAGGTTCAATTTCATCAATTTAACAACAATAATCCCATTTTCCAAGGTCTCACATACACATGGGGTTTAACATTTGAAAACCCCCTTTTATAAATTACACATAAAACCCTAACTTTTCCCAAAATGACTAAGCAACACCATCTAATCACAATGACCAAAATTTATGTTAAAACTCATAGAATAGAGTAGGTTATCCCTACCTCAAATTTCGGAGCTCAATGGAGAAGATGAAGAAATTTGAAGGTGCTCCAAACCCAAAGATTTTCGGATCAAAATGTAGCTCACACCAAGCTCCACACTTTATACAAAGGGACTAGGGTAGCAGATCACTAACACTAGATGATTTCTTAGAGAGAAGATGATGTCTAGAGTGAGAAGCTCTCAAGTTTGGGTTTTGAAAAGCTAGAGAGAGAGAGTGGCCCGAAAAAGTGATCCAAAAAGCTAAAATTCGGACTGATATAATACACAATCTGCTCGAGTGTGGAACACCCCGCTCGAGTGTCAGACACAGACTCACGCTTGAGTGTGAAAAGCGCCACTCGAGCGTCGAATGCATGCTTCCAGAAGTTTTGTAGATGAAGGTCCTCGCTCGAGCATGAAAGTGGACGCTCGAGCGTCCGATGACCTGCAGCGAAAAGTACTGAGGGTTGAATAATCATGCTCGAGCGTCAAAATGCCCGCTTGAGCGGAGGAACAAAAGCAAAGGGCCCGCTCGAGTGTCAAAAACCTCGCTCGAGTGTGAAGGCCAAAATCTGGGCATCAACTCTTGGTTTCCAAACACAACCAACCTGTTTTAAACCTGCCCAACACAAGCCAAGACTCAAATACAAGAGTAAAGGATGGGAATGAGAATAAGACAACAACCAACACCCATGGACCCGAGCCCAGAATACAGTTTAAACAAATAATGGAAAACCGGGATCGCTATACAAGCTCTTAACATGTCCTTTAAGGTCTGAATGGTACGTTCCGACTATCCGTCAGTTTGAGGATGAAAGGTGGTACTGAAACATAATTCGGTCCCCAATGCTTCTTGTAGGCATCCCAGACTCGGGAGGTGAAACGTGAGTCTCGGTCTGACACAATTTATACATGAATTTCGTGTAGTCGAACAATTTCTTTAATGTAGAGATGACTCAGTGATGTCAAAGTGTCTGAGAGTTTATATGGAAAAAAGTTTGCAGTTTTCGTCAAACGATCAACTATAACCCATATAACATCGTGTCCTCTAGGTGACCTGGGTAGTCTAGTGACAAAGCCCATTGTTACATGCTCCCATTTCCATTATGATATCGGCAAGGGATGAAGCATCCCTCCAGGTCGCTGGTGTTCTGCCTTTACTTGCTGACACGTAAGGCATCTGGCTACGAATTGAGCCACATATTTCTTTATTCCGTTCCACCAGTATTGGCGTTTTAAGTCTTGGTACATTTTCGTCCCTCCTGGGTGCACTGCGAACACTGAATGATGGAATTCTTTTAGAACTTTTTCTCTTGGGTAGTCTAGTGACAAAGCCCATTGTTACATGCTCCCATTTCCATTATGATATCGGCAAGGGATGAAGCATCCCTCCAGGTCGCTGGTGTTCTGCCTTTACTTGCTGACACGTAAGGCATCTGGCTACGAATTGAGCCACATATTTCTTTATTCCGTTCCATCAGTATTGGCGTTTTAAGTCTTGGTACATTTTCGTCCCTCCTGGGTGCACTGCGAACACTGAATGATGGAATTTTTTAGAACTTTTTCTCTAAGCGACTCATCTTGTGGTACAAACACTCTACCCTGGTATCTCAAACTTCCATCTGAATGAATCATCCAATCAGCCATAGGATCGCTGAATGCTATTCTCGCTTTTATGAATGCCACCTCCTAATTATACTTTTGCGACTCTATTACATCGTTCAGTAATTTGGGCGTAGCGATTTGAGCTCCAAGGTATACCTTCTCGTCATGAGCTTTCATCTGTACTCCGAACACATTAACTGTTCCGACCATGTTCCATTCCTTGAGTGCCAAGCTAGCGATAATTCCTCGGTTCTTGCGACTCAGGGCACCTGCCACCACGTTGGCTTTGCCAGGATGGTACGATAGAGTAAAATGGTAATCTTCAAGATATTCTAGCCACCGTCTTTGTCTCATGTTCAAGTCCTTCTGCGTGAACAAATACTTCAAGCTCTTATGGTCTGTGAAAATCTCAAATTGTTCACCATACAGATAATGACGCCATTGCTTTAACGCAAAAACCATTGCTGCCAAGTCTAGATCATGTGTCGAATAATTCCTTTCATGCAGTTTCAGTTGTCTGGAGCCATAAGCCACCACCTTCCGTTTTTGCATTAGCACACAGCCTAGCCCATCCTTGGACGCGTCGCAATATACCGTATATCCTACGTCTCACTCCGGAATGATGAGTATTGGGGCACTAGTCAATCTCCTCTTGAGTTCTTGAAAGGATTGTTCACATGCTTCGTTCCAATCGTATTTTACCTCTTTTTGCATTAGACGAGTCATTGGTTTGGCTAGTTTAGAAAAGTCTTGAATAAACCGTCGGTAATAGCCGGCCAACCCTAAGAAACTACAAACTTCAAATACTGAGGTTGGTTACTTCCAATCTAACACTTCTTCTACCTTGGCGGGGTCTACAGCGATCCCATGCTCCGATACGACGTGTCCCAAAAATTTGACTTCCTTCAACTAGAACTCGCATTTACCTGCTTTTGCGTATAGCTGGTTGTCTCTTAAAA